GGGGGGGGGGGGGTGCTGCAGCACCCCATGGGCTGTGGGGGCGCTTACCCGCGTGGGACTGCATGTGCTCCAGCAGGTTGTTGTAGAACTGGAACTGGATCCCACAGGCGCCACAGGTGTAGGGTTCTGCGGGGAGAAATGAAGCAGCCGTTTTAGGGGCAGAAGGACCCTGGGTGCCTTCCTGCTGGGCTGTGGGCAGATTGGGAACTGGGAACCCCAACACACACTGGGGCTCTGGGTCCAGCCTGACCTGCCCCTGGCACTAACGGGTGAGCAGGAGGCCGGGGGCAGGAAGGATCGATGGGGAGAGGGGGACGTGCAGCCTCAGAGAGCCTCTGATGCGGTCAGGCAGCCATTTACTGAGTGCTTACTGTGTGCCAGGCACTGTCTGGGCACTGGGGGTGGAGGTGCTTGGGGCAGATGGGCTGGAGGAGGGACAGGAGCTCTTAGCCAGAGACGGGGTCTTACTGGTTCCCCGGCCCATCTGCCTGCCTGTAGAAGCACCCGGGCATCACTGTTTGCTGAGCAAACGAATGAGTTAATGTATGAACGAGCCCCCAAACAAGGCAATGCACACAGAGGAAAGGGAGAGGAAGAAGAAACTGAGAACAGGGTAAGAAGGGGAGAAAGCCACAGAAAAGCAAGAAGTGGGACAAGACGTGGAAAGGGCAGAGAGAGGCGGAGGGCGGGAGAGAAGGGAGGAGGACAGCACACAGGACCGGGACAAGTGGGCCTTTATCTTTGATCTCTGTTCCCAATACTCGAGTCAATGCCCAAGAGACGAGGGAGGAAGAAGGGGTACAAAGGAGGAAAGGATAAAGAGAGGAGGAGGATGGCTGACATGGGGAGGTCTGTGTTCCTGCAGGGCTGGGGGACAGAGGCGGCTGCCATGTCGGGGGTCTGCCTCGTCCCCCGTGCCAACTCCTCCACCCGCCTGGGCTGGGCACTCCTCCTGCGCTACTAGCTGCCTGTCTGCCTGGGAGGGCGGCCCAAGGTCGGATGCTCTGGGGAGGCCCTGAGAGCTGGAGCCACTCAGTTCATTCCCTGCCCGGCCTCGCCCTCTCCAGCCCCCCATGGGACCCCCACTTACTCTGTAGGAGAGGGAAAGTATTGGAAATCAGGGGACTTGCAGTTTCTGCAAAAGAGAAACAGTTTAGCTAGGTCTCCTCCAGGTCTGGTGCTCTCAGATGACCGTCATTATTTCCATTGTTAACAAGTTGTGACCAGATGGGGCCCTCAGACGAGGGGCACACAGAGCCAGGCTCAGATTCGGGGGTGGGGCTGGGACACAGGGCACGGCAATGGCAGCCAGGGCCACCCCTCTAGGACACACTCAGCTCTCCAAAGGTGAGCCCACAGAGCACAATGAGAATGTCCACGCTCGGCTTCAGGACAGGAAGCTGCTTCGAGGTCCTGGCCCTGAGGGCTGTGCTTGGGAGGTGCTCTGCCTGCTGGAACCTGCCCCACGCTGCCTGGTGCTGCCAGGTGAGCCTCAGGCGCAGGAGGTGGCAGGGTGGTGCGGGTGGACTCGGCTGGGGTCCGGCTGGGGTCCTGGCTCCACCACTTACAAGCTGGGGACCTGGGGCAACTACCCCCTTCTCCTGAGCCTCCGTTTTCTCACCCCCAAACGAAAGATAACCCTCCTCCTGGGGCTGGGGCACACGGGAAGACAGGAAAGACACACACAGCTCTGAACACATGCCAGGCACAGAGTAAGCGCTCAGTAAACGGTGTCTGCCCTTCGCACAGCCAGTTTCCAGCTCTGAGTATCGGCTCTGGTGGAAGGAGAGGCAGGGGGTGCAGCCTGGCTGGCTCAGAGCAGAGACTCCCGGGAGGCCAGGGCTCCGGTCCTGATGCTTAGTCCTGTGTGGCCTTGGGCAAAACGCCACCACGTTTAAGCCCACTTGTTGGAGATGCTGCTGGATTACATTTTTCAAAAGGGTTGAAGCAGCTTGGAAAAGCTGACACGTTCTCTACAGTGAAGGGGTCCTGTCAGGGCCCCCCGCACCCCTCACTCCCTTGCTCAGGATCCTCGTAGAATAACTGGGTTTACGTAAAGAGATTACGTGAGTGGGAACGTAATCTCTGCAGGGCACTTGCTGAATGCTCACCACGCAGGGACGTCTGTGCTATCCCCACTTTAGAGCGGAGGAGAACTGAGAGTCCAGGCCCCGCCACCAGCTCACAGAGGGCGGAGCTGAGGTTCGAACCTTGGCTGGAGACAGAGCTGGGGCTCAGATTCCTACGCAGAAGCCTCCACATTCAAACCTGTGTTCCCAACTGTTTCATGAAGCCCCTGATGGACGGTCAGGCTGCGCCCAGCATCTGTCTATACACAAGCAGTGCCCAGGATATGCGGGGCACAAGTGGGGACCGAGTATGATGAACGGAACCTCAACTGTGCGAGAGAGGGGGTGCCTTGCTTTACTATAACCAGTGTCGGAACTCTTGCCCCTTCCCTTCCTGCCCTGGCTGCCACTGTGCAGACCGCCTGGCTATGCCTTCTCGGACAGAGGCCGCTGGTGACCACCCCCGACGGCCCCGCTGGGCTGACCCAGGTCTATCTGGGGAGAGGGGCCTTGGGCAGCTCTGTTCTAAGGCCCTCTGTTCTGCCAGGGTCTTGGTGGAGGCAGCCACCAGGGGGCGCCAAAACACTGCCAGGAACCTCAGGCAAACCTTGGGCGGGCAGGGGCTGGAAGGGAACCGTTGGATGGTTCCTGGTCCGAAGTGGAGCCAGAACTCTGGGCCTCTGGCTTACCAGGCCACAGCTCTCTCTGCTGTAACCCCATTGCCTCTGCTGGAAATAAAATGGCTGACGTTTTCCCTAAAAATATAGAAATGGCTCTTTTAGGCTCAGGTCTCTGGGGCCATGCATGTAGGTGTTGCAGGCTGTGGGGTAGGGGGAGTTCCTCTCTCCATGGGGAAGAGACAGGAAGGGCCACAGTCCCCCGAGATGCCCCTGAGGCCCAGAAGGAGGCCCCTGGAAGACTAGGCCCGTGGGTTTCTGCCCAGCCCTGGCCTCCTAATTCTCAGCCTCTCCCAACACCACCAGCATGCATCATGGAGACCCCAGCCCACAGGGGGGAGCAGACGGAGCCGGCAACCTCAGCACGGGGTGCCTGGCACAGGGCACACTCACCGCTGGAGTTTTGGGAACTGCTGTTCGTCTCTTCAAAGTGGTTTTGTGCTTTGCTTTCTACTCTCCGACTGAAAGCGCTTTCTGCTGGTGGGGACAGGAGAGAGCGAGAGAAAATGACGGTGATTGATTAGCACTAGGTCCAAAGGGGGGGTGGTCATGCCAGAGGCGACTCAGAGGCTGGAGTACCTGGGGGGATCAGACAATGAGGAGCTCCAGCATCCCAGACCAGAGCCCCAGCTCCTCAAGCTCACCTGAGTCGCCTGATACCTTGTCAGGGCCCCAGGAGACCCTCGGACAGTGCCCAGAGGGGGTGGAGGTCCAGGCCTAGGGGTATGTGTGGGTGACCTGTCCAGGAGCTCACAGATGAAATCCAGCCGAGTGAGCAGACGGCAAATGGGCCTGGGTCTCCCATCTGGGCCCCTGGGGAGCCACACGTGGGCCACTAAGCAATGCGGACCTGCCCCCACTGGTCCCTATGCCAGATTCCGCTGTCTCAGGCCCCACAACGGAGCAGGGAGGAGGGCAGACTGTCTCCTGAAGGCAGTTCTGGTAGAGCAGGTGGGCTGGACAGCTCCACATGCCCAGTGGTCCCTGGGTGGCAAGGAGCGCCTTGGAGAGAAGATGTGCCAGGCAGAATGGGGGCAGCCCACACCCCAGGAGGCCAAAGACCAGGTGAGGTCCGGTCAGAGTTCATCCGGGTTAAGGACTAGCTCCTGATGATTTCTTGGGCATCTCTGCTTACAGGCGGCACTTTTCTTAGTGGCTCACCTTCTCCCAGGCGCTGCCTGTAACCCCAGAGGCAGAGACAGAATTCAAGGTGGAAAATACCAATTTAGTGCCCACCTCTCCCCCACCTATGGAAGGTACTGACACTGAATATCCAGGCTGGGAGGGGACTCGGCTTTTCCACGCTCTGGGCACAATGGGAGCCGGATGCTCCAGGAGACAGACTTCTGGGAACAAGAGACGGGGTGGAACAGCCGACCCAGCCCCTTTCTTAGGGAGAAGCAACTTGCACCACCTTGTCAAAGGCTCGGAGAAGTTCACTGAAAAGAGGCCCATCTGGCTTTATTAATCCAGTCTTTCCAAATGGATTTGGCTACTCAAGCCCATTTTTCTTTAAATATATTTTTATAAATTTCAGAGAGGAAGTGAGAGGGAGAAAGAGAGAGAAATATCAATGATGAGAGAATCATTGACCAGCTGCCTCCTGCATGCCCCACACTGGGGATCGAGACAGCAACCTGGGCATGTGTCCTTGATTGGAATCGAACCCAGGATCCTTCAGTCCACAGGCTGACACTGTATCCACTGAGCCAAACAAGCTAAGGCGCCTATTTTAAAATTATTGGGTAGATTCTTTACTATTTCTAAAAAAATGGTGGTTTCAGGAACTCACTGTGGGAAACACCACTGTCACCCAGTCCACCCCATGCCAGAAGGGCTCTCGCTCAGGCTGTGGGGGCCAGGGTTCCGGACGATCATCGGGCGACAGGAAAGGAAGCCAGAGGTGGCTCCTGCAGGTCCTGCTCAATGCCCCATTCCCTGACCCCAATGACGTCTCCTTTCCGCAGAGGCTGTCCACAATATCACAAGGAAAACCCTCTCTCCAAAACGCATCCATAGAATGCCTGGGCTGAGAGCTCCATACCTGCCTCCTTCAAGAAGTCATCTTTAAATGGGCAAAGAAAGCCCTTCAGTTCTTTGCCTAGGGGAAAGGGGGGAGGGAGTTGCACTAATTTACTGAGCACCTACTATGTGCCAGGCACTGATTTAGATGCCTTACACCCAGGGTCTCTCTTAATTCTCCCAATAGCTCTATGAGGTCCACGCCGTCACTTCCATTTTATAGGTGAAAAAAACACACACACACCCAGAGGAAAGTGAGGCTGTCAAGTTCCCAGGGCTGAACAGCTGTTAATCCTCTAAGACGGCAGAATGAGACTTCATTCTCGCACAGGCAGACGCTTCTTTTTTCACAAGCGAGTCCTTTCTGCATCTTAATCCTCGTGCGTGCAGGCGACCCCTCTGCGGGGGACTTTCATGCAGCCTCACCACTTTATTGGCAGACCTGACAACTGAGGTCATGATTCGTTTCCCAGTACTCAGCTCATAATGCAACTTGATCAGCTCTCCCTGCCACGGGCACCTCCGGCCACAAACCAGTGGGCTGTACAGTGGGTGAGGTCCCAGGCACAGGCCCGCACCTCCACCCAAAAACAGCTGCCTGTTCCAACACGGTGAAGGCCGTCACCACTTCCAGCTCTCCCGTGCAGGTTCCTGCGGCAACCTGGTGTCCTCTGCTCTGCCCACCTGCTCTGCCCCTAGCCCCAAGTCTCCCAGGTCACATAAAGGCAGCTAGAAGCAAGTCCCAGAGCTTCCGGGATGCTTCTTTGGGGATATTGAGGTCCAAGAGCTGCCCCTTCCAGGCAGCTCCCTGCAGGAACTACAGACATAGAAACTCCCAGCCAGAAGGTCAAGAATAAAAAGCAAACATTTGGAACTTGTGATCCCATTAGTAGCTGAGCTAACATCTACCACCGATGAGCCCATGAGGACCATCCTGTTTCTAGAAAAATACAACGGCTATCGGCTTTTCTCAACGCAGTACCTCAAAATCCATGATGTTCAAGGTTGATTACGTACTTACTCTCCTTCCGGGACATCTAAACTTCATAAGCCTATCTTCAAACACTTCTGACGAACATATCCTTGCCCCACAGTAGCCCACGAACCAAAGAATAATGGCAAACACAACTCGTCAACCGCCAGCCCAACCTACTGGGTCACTGAACTCAGTCTGATCACTTGTATGTGTAATGGATGGCTGTGGGCCTCTTGACAGCAACTGAAAGGTCCCTGATCCCAGAAGGACCACATCAGCACTCTACCCTACATCACTCTACCCTCCGCCCACAGGCAGGCGGCCCAAGGCTCGTTCCATCTGGGCATGAGTCAGGGCTCCTGATAACTGGCGCTCAGCACACATGCATGCGTCTGATCCGTTTTCCCGGGACAAATACTGCTGTTCACCCTTCGGGGGTTGGAACCCCACTCCGCCTGGACCAGAAAACCCTGGAGCTGGCATCCATTGGTCGCCTGCTGGGCCATGGCCCAGGGAGCGATTTCACGAGTAGCGGGAGGCCAAGAGCACAAAGCGTCCGGCCAGCCACCCTGCTTTGAGGAGAACAGCTCTTCGTAGAAATGAGTTCTTAGGCTGGGTTTTCGGAAAGATGGGGGATGCAAACGCATGCCGGGGGGTTTCCAGGCAGGGACATGAATGGATGAACCGGGCTGCATGTCAGACAGACAACAGTGTGATCACAATGAGAGATGGCACCCGCCACATGGCTCTTGTGTTGGGTAGGCAGGAGGGAGTGGTGGGGACTGTGGAAAACTGGCGAGCACATGCTCTATGAATACAGGAGGCAGCTGTGGCTCAGCCCAAGCCAATTGTTGCACTGCAGGAAAGTGGGCCCGGAACGGCCGGAGCCGACTTGTCCATGTCAGCTGGAGATCAAGTTTCACATAAAACCTCCTAGCGTCCAAATATTGGCAAGGAATTTAAAGCAGTTTTTAAAAACACCTTAGGCCATGACGTGGGGGAAATATTCTCTTGTTTAAAAGGAGAAAACTTTGCAAACTCTCTTGTGCCACCCTCTGATTTAGGATAAGAAAAACTTAGACTCAGAGAGGTTAGTTAGGTGGCTCGCCAAGGTCTCAGGGCCCGTCAGAGGCAGAGCTAGGACCCAGATTCGTCCCACATAACTATGGGACCCCCACTGTTGCTCTTGCAAGGGAACAATGACCCCGGGCACAGCTGTGGCGGGGGGGGAGGGGGAATGGAGGGCGTGTGGGGTGACAGAGGCCGTTGGTACCTGAGGTTGCCTTGTTGGCTGGAGATCCTGAATTTGGGGTGCGGAACGTCTGGGTTTGGGTGGCTGGAGGGGTGCGGTGTAAGAGGGCGGAGCACCGGACCACGGAGGCCGAAGCTTTTTTCCCCGACTGGTTCGTCTGGGTCTTCGCAGCCACGAAGCGTGGAGACGGGGACACCTCTGGATGTGAACACTCAGAGCCCGTGTCTGGATCGTCCGGCGGCTCCCACCCGGGGGCGGTACCTGAGAGGGTCACGCTCTCAGTCCCCAAGAGCCCTCGGAGCTGGCGGAGTAAGTGGCCTCTCGAGCCACTGCCCCCACCTCCGCCCCCCGTGCTCGAGGGTGGACACCTCTTCTCAGTCCACAGAAAGCAAAGACTCTCGCTCCCACCTGGGAGTCTAGAACCTTCCCCAGCTTCTCCTCGAGGCAAGCCTATCTCACACGGTACCCTCCAACGGCCCCAGGGCATAGGCAGAGAGGGATGCAGGGGCTCAGAGAGGGACAGGCACCACTCCGGGGTCACAGAGCAGTTTGGGATGGAGCCACGATGCATTTCCCAGGCTCCTGTCTCATTTCATTCCATAGTTTACACCGTGTGTTGACCTTCTCACGTGAAATGCTGTCCAGCTGGAATTCCTACCTGGGCTTTCACAGAGAAAGGAAGAGCTTTAGACAGACTGGCTGATTGCTCTTGTAAGAAACATAGGAGATATTTACACATAAAAGAGATATTTAAAAATAAGAGAACACAGTGATCTCTCCTTCCTGTGAAGCTGAACGTTTAAGTGGAGCAGAACATGCAGAGAATATATGGATTTGAAAAAAGTAACCATGCCACCGAGAGGGAGAAGAGACCAGGCCCAGGGGTTGGGGCAGGGGAACTCCCTGAAGAAGGGGGGAGTGGAAATGAATTTGCGGCAAGTGGGCCTCGTAGGACCAAAGGCTGGAGGTGGAAGTGAGAGGGAGACGGGATCCACAGGGTCTAACCTGGGAAATCCTTGTGGGTTTTAGTCTGAGGAAGAGAACTAAGACCTTACACTCTGGCCACGCTGGAGCCGCTGGTGTAGGACTAGCCCTCCTCCAGACGCAACATAAAGCTGGACAAAACACGTGAAACCACCATTTCAGACCGTGAACAGAAGGAGGTGCAGGGCCTCCTGTGAGTCATGAAAGAAGACCTCCCATGAGCCCCGTGACCCCGCCTGCTCTCCGCCTGGGGAGACCTTCTGGACCAGAGCACAGACGTGAAGCCCAAAGAAAGCACCCCAGTCACCCTGACTGAGGAGTCAGCGGTCAGAGTTCAGGGCTTCCAAGGTGGCTGGAGTTTGAAGGGCAGGATAACAAAGAAGGGAGAAAAGAAAGAACTCCTGAACCGTGTGCAGAGGGACCCCTGCAAGCCTGGCAGCCAACAGACTGCGGGCTGCCAGTGAGTGAGGAGTCAGGGGTGTGCAAGGTTAGAGGATGTCTGAGGTCCCACTTGCCAGAGAGGAGACCTTGCTGAATACCCAGTCGTTCAGCTGAGACCCAGAAGAGCCAGGCCTTAGAAGGATTACGCTGACCCTAGCACAAGGACTACCGTATCCCCCCTTATCCAGGAGCGATACATACCCAGACCTCCAATGAAGGCCTGAAACCGCACATAGTACTGAATCCTAGAGGTACCGTTTTTTTTGCTAGGCATACATATTGTGACACATTTTAATTTTAAAATTAGGCATACTAAGAGATTTACAACAAGGACTAATAATAAAATAGGACAGTTATAACAACAGGCTGTAATAGAAGTTATGTTCATGGCGTTGGGGCCTTTATTAAAATAAGGCTTATTTGGAACACAAGCACTGTGTACTGTGACAACCGATCTGATAACTGAGACCGCTACTAAGTAGGGGTGGGTAGTTATGGAGCCTGGATAAGGTAGACAAAGGGATCACTCGTGTTCTAAGAGGGATGGAGCAGGATGGCATGAGATTTCATCCCGTTACTCAGAACAGTGTGCAACTTAAAATGTATAAACTATTTCTGGAATTTTCCATTTAATATTTTTACACCACAGTTGACTAAAACCATGGAAAGTGAAACCGCGGATACGGAGAGGCTACTGTAATCCAGACCCCGCCCCAACACAGCTTAAAATCGAGCCTTTGAATTACCAAGCTAATCTGTATTAACTGCCGACCAGAACAAAATTCAACATTTTTCAAAGGAAGATAGCAAAGTCCAGACACTCAACAACACTGCATCCACACAGGCAGCACAGAATAAAAAAAAGGATGCCATCGGGTGGAGCAGGAAAACGGGAATAATATTCAACAGGGAAAAAAAACACAAAACAGTCAACAGAAACATACAAAAATGACAGCAACAATAGAATCTGCAGACAAGGACCTTAACACAGCTATTATAAATATGCTCCAAGATTTAAAGGATAGCATGAACATAATGAAGAAAGAAATGGTGTGAAACAGAACCAAGCGGAAATTACAGAGATAAAAAAATATGATAGCTGAGATGAAAAATTCACTTAATGGCTATTTCCAATGAAACAAAGTAAGACACTGTAGAAGAAAAGATCAGCAAACCTGAGAACAGGGCACTTGAAACAATCCAAATAGAAACACAGGGAAAATAAGGCTGAAACACTGAACACAGTTTCAACTGATCTGTAAACATCGTAAAAAAAAAAAAGTAACATACATGTCAATAGTCTCAATAGGAGGCAAAAGAGAAATTGGGGAAGAAAAATATTTATGGAAATACTGACTGAAAATTTTCCTTGATGAAAAATATAAACCCACTGATCCAAAAAGCTCAATAAACCCCAACGAAGATGAAGCCAAAGAATACTATATATCCATAATCAAATTACTAAAGCCAGTATTATAGAGAAATATTTAAAATAATCCACAGAAAAAAGATACATCAAGTATAGAATAACAACCAGAATGACCTTTGACTTCTCACAAGACACAACATAAGCAAAGAAGATAAAAGAATGACATTCTTAAAGTGCTAAAAAAAATTTCTCAACCCAGAATTTCATATCCAGAGAAGATGTCCTTCAAAGGGTAAAATAAAAACATCTTCAGTTAAGAAAATCTTTCACCAACAGACCTACAAGGTAAGAAATGTTCAAGGAAGTTCTTCAGGGAATAAAGGAAAAGGATAATAGAGGAAATTCAGATTTACATAAATAAAAGTACAGAAAATTGTAAATATGTAATAAATATGAAAGACATTTTCTCTCATTTCCTAATTACTTTAACACAGGATTGACCGTTTAAAGCAAAAAATAATTGTTGGTTTTATAAAGTAGTATAGGTGGAAAGCTAACAGAGGAAATTTTTAAAATTCTTGATTGATATTAAAGAAGGCAAGACAAAAAATGAATAATAAAAAGAAATGAAACAAACAGAAATACAAGATAAAAAACTTAAATCTAAGCATATCAAAATAATATATCAAATGTAAATGGGTTAAACACTTCATTTAAAGGCAGGGGTTGTCAGGCTGGATAAAGGAGTGAGAACCAACTACTAGCATATGTATGCACTTAAAACACACATATAAGTAAAAAGCAAAGGATGAAAAGAGATATACCATGCAAACACTAATCCTAAGAAAGCTGTAGTGGCTATATTAATATCAAATAAAGTAGATTTCAGACAATGGGTATTACCAGATATAAAGAAGGGCATTGAACAATTTTAAAAGGGTCATGACATAATGATCCCAAGTGTGTGCACTTAAAAACAAATTTCAAAATATATGCATCAAAACCTGACAGAACTAAAGGGAGAGACAACATCTCTAGAATTAAAGTTGTAGATTTTAACTCTCCTCTCTCGGTATTTGGCAGAACAAGCATATGTTTTTGAAAACTCTGGAAAGGTGTAGAGATTTAAACAATATTATCAATCACTGTAATCTAAATGACACGCCATGCAGGAAATACTCTTTCCAACTCATTCTGTAAGGCTAGTATTACTCTGATACCCAAATTAGACAAGAACATTACATGAAAAGAAAAGTACACTGCTGGTTGGAATGTAACATGGCATAATCGCTTTGAAAAACAATTGGGCTGTTTCTTAAAAGTTAAACATACACCTGCTACTAGTATATGATCCAGCCATTCCACTCCCAGATATTTACCCAAGAGAAATGAAAGCATTTGTCCGTACAAAGATGTGCACAGAAATGTTCCCAGCAGCTTTATTTGTATTAGCTCTAAACTGGAACGACCCATGTGTCCATCCATAAGTGAATAAAAAAAATTGTGGTATCTATACGGTAGGTCCTCAAATAATGTAACTTTGTTCAATGCCATTTCATTATAACATTGATGATATGCTATAGGAACTTAACTCTTGTGTCAATTAGTCCATGGTAAAACTGGTTTTGTTATACATCATTTCACTTAAAATTACAGAACCTATTGACGACTTAAAGTGAGAACTTACTGTATCTAGACAATAGAATACTACTACCCATCAATGAAAAGGAATGAAGTACGGATACATGCAAACACGAAGAATCTTAAAACAATTAAGGTGAGTGAAAGAAGCCAGACACCCCCATACACACAATAAAGGAGTACGATTCCATATAGGCAATATTCTAGAAAATGCAAAGCAATCTATATGGATAGGAAGTAGATCAGTGCTTGCCTGTGAATGGGGAAGTGGTGACCAAGGAATTCTAGAAGGAAATAAGGAAACTTTTGGGAGTGACAGATATGTTCCTAATGGCTTTCCAAGGTTCAAAGCCAAACTCCACCTCTTGTTAACTCCACGACTGTATTCAACTTATTCCAGAAATTTGGGAGAACAGCAGCAGCACTGAAGGTGCGCTCCAAAGGCTGACACCGTGGTTGCAGGCTGGACTTGGAACTAACATCTAAGTGCATTCTGGGTGGCATCCTCTCCAGGAACCAGGCAGCAGGACAGATGTCCACACACAGCTGCCAGTCCGGCCCATGGAAAGAGGGGTCCTCAGAGGGTCCAGGCCATGGAGTTCAAGCCCCGCCACAGCGCTGATGACTCAGCACCAGCACCACTAGTCAAATGGATGGGTCATGCCCACCAAGCAGAAACCGTATCCTCCCCCTCCACCCAGGTCAGAACATGTGGTGGAAAATGGGTGGCCCATACATCCCTAGCCTCACTGGCAGGATGGGTTTCTCTAGTTGGGCCACCTGGTCTACCTGCCCGAGGGTTTGGAGATGCCTAGAATTCAGACCCCTGGGCTGGAAAGACTTCGAGAGCTCCCACAAAGGGAAACCTGAGCCCAGGGAAGGGAAGTGACAGGCACAGGTCAGAGGCTGAGTAGGACAGGAATCCTAGCCCAGTTATGGATCTCAGGATGGGGGCTCTCGCCCATGGGGCTCTGCCCATTTAGAGATTATGGAGTGGGATCCACTCAGCTCTGTCCTAAGAAACCAAAGCAGGGGGTACTCCTACATCCGCTCCTAAACATCCCGCCCTGCGAAGTTGGTTAAGCCTCGCCTCCATCTGGATTTTGGTTGAGGAATGAAGGCCTCCAGCTCATGTGCTGGGGATGGAAGGGTGAGCGAGCCCGCTCCAACATCCAGAAGTGGCACCGGGGAATCGGCAGCATCAGAATGGAAGGCTGCTATGTCCCTGTGGGAAGGGCCATGAGAACCATTTCCCTTCTGGAAGGAAAGATTGGAGGCCAGAAATTGGACAGGGCCTGCCCCAGGTCACATGCAAGCCTATGAATCCACGGGGATTAACACCCAGGGCTCTGAGTCCTGGCTTAGCACTCCGGCTTCGCACCCTTCCCACCACCAAGGATAAAGAGGAGCTGTCCTGTCTAGTTGGCCATCCCTTGCCTGGGATAGGCTAGGCTCTGCATGGGTTCAGACGGGCTGCACCACATGGTGCTGGCTTTGGGGCTGGGGATTCAGGAACATGATTTGGAGGTGCTTAGAGGAGGTGGGGACAGGGACACTGAAGGACTTGGATGAAAGGTGCCCACCCTCTGAATCCACTGTTGGAAGACTCGCGCTTTCCTGGCTTAAAAGTGGGGCTTTCCCAGCTATTCGAGTAAGGTGGCCCCAGATCACACCTGGACACCTAGAGACTGGCCCAGATCCAGTTCCCCTTTAGTTTCGCCCTCTCCTAGTAACATCCCAGAGCCTGGGACTACAGCTTGGCCCACCCCGCCCCCAACAACAAAAGGTACTCACTGATGGGGGCGTGTAAGGCCACATGCTCCTGGTAGGGTGTGTAGTACTTGTACTGCTTTCCGCAGAATTCACAGGTGTAATTGCCGGTTTCTGTCCAAGAAGGAGATAAAAGTGTGGGAACAGGTGCCTGGCTCCCACCCAGCCGCAGCAGCATGCTCTCTCCCCCCAAACTCCTCCTCATTCGGGGACAACAAACTAGAATTGGGAGTCCACTTGAGTGGACTACTCTCTAAACTCAAATCCCAGCTCTGCCATTTGGAGCTGTGTGACCTTGGGCAAATCTCTTAACCTCTCTGTGCCTCAGTTTTCCTATCTCTAAAACGGGGGTAATAATAGGACCACCTTATAGGATTGCTGTGAGGATTAAATTTCTATGTCAAGTGCTTAGAACAGTGCCTGGCACACACTGTTCTCCCTCATTGCTCCGCCCTTAGGCCCCGGTGCTCTGGAAAAGTGTGGTGACCCAAACTGACCTCCAGTGCCCATCTCTCTACCAGCCCCTCTGCAATGGCCACGCTGGGTCCCCTCATCTCTAGGTCCTTTCCCTGCCCCAAGCACCCCATGCCCCCCAGCAGAAGAGATCACTTCTTCCTCTCAGGTCCCACCAGACTTTATTTTTACCTCTCTTTTGGGTCTGCCTAACTTCTTTCTTCTTAAAAATTTCTGATGTAATATTGTTCACTGGGGGAAAATTATAAAATATTGATAAATACAAAATTAAAAAAAAAATAAGAGAAATTTCAATCATCTGTAATCCCCAAAACAAAGAGTAGCAGCTACCCCTCGGGTAGAACCTGCACCTTTCAACTTCCCCAGACCCCGCCCCTCACTCCCCTGACACTGACATCATCTTGTCTGGCTGCTGTGGGCCTTGAATGGGCGGCCCCGATCTATATGCTCTTTGTAACCTGGTGCATTCGATCGACAATACTTTGTGGACATCTTGCTCAATCAATAAACTTTGATCTCTACTGCACTTATTGGCTGCATGGTTCCACTGGACTTCAGAATTTGCTGTGCTGGCCTCCTACACCAGGGGCCATTTAGAAAATCTCCCCAAATTTCCCTTAATATATATCTAAAAATAATGCTATGATCCACATACTTGTGGAAATTTTTGCACATGTGCTCATTATTTTTGCACATCATGGCAAAATAAAGATTATTGAGCATAATCTTTGCACATTACTTCCACGGGATAAATGAAGGGTATGCATTTTTAAGGCTTTTGAAAACCAAAGCACCAACTACCTATCAAAAGATTGGGCCAATCTGTATCTCATTCAGAAAGATGGGAAAATGACTGTTTCCATACATGGTAGCAAACATTAGATATTATTGTCTTCTTAAATTGTGACTGATAGGGGAAACTCTAATGCAGTGCTGGTTTTATTTTCCACCTCTTTGAGTTGCAAGGAAATTTACTATTTTTCATGTTTAATTGCAGTTTTTCGTTCATGACTTTTCTGTGTTTACTGCCAATGTTTCTATAGGTATACTTACCTTTTTTAAATCACTAAGACTCCGTAGGTTAGAATACCAACGTTTTGTTCTTTATATTAGTTACAAGTATTTTTGCTCAAATTGGCTTCTTATTCTGTTTGTGGGATTTCTGTCTCAATATAGAAACTTTAATATTTGTAGTTAAATAACTTTTGTAACTGATTCCTGAACACTGTAAAAGATCCATTTGCTATTTGCAGGATTCAAAGTTGTTAGGTCACCTGTATCCCTACGTAATCTTATTTGTCTACCTGCTCGGCCAAAGACTCCCTGTAATAAATCCCCCCACTTCGTGGTGTTTCTACATTTATTTTGTGTATTTAGATATAATGTCGTTTGATGCACAAAGGCTCAGGGATCCAGACCTTTACTGCAAACTGTGCCCTTTGTTAAGGTTTCCCTGTCTAGTAGTGCAGTCCTTCTCAAAGGTCCCTGGGCCAGCAGCAGCAGCACCACCTGGGAATTTGCTGCAAATTCTCAGGACTTAACCAAGACAGACTAAAAGAAAAATTCTAGGGATGGGATCCAGCAACCCGTATTTTAATAGACCCCTTAGAAAGTTCTAATGCTTGGGAACATTTAAGAACCACAGTTTTATTAGTTTGCCTGGCATTAATGTTACTAATTCTTGGTAATTACTTTGTCGGATTCTCCTTTCTACATGTTTGCATGTGCCTAGAGACATTTCCCTGTGCTTTCATTCATTAAACAGATACTGTGCTAAACGCCGCCACAAAAATGTGGAGCAAAAAGTCATGGTTCCTGCCCTCTAGGAGCTTACAGTCTGGAAAAGGAGACAGAAAAGTCAAATGATCACGCAAATTTAAAACTGCAACCATGGCGGTGGGTACTCTTGAAGGAGACATTCACAGTGCTATGAAAATTCTAATCGGGAAATCACTTTAGCTAAGGAAGCAGCAAAGAGTTTCCTGAGAAAGAGAAAAGATAATGAATTAACTAGGCCTGTCTCTAATAAGGCATTAATAATTGGATTATTTTAAATTAACCTGAGAACCTTTGTCTTTTAATAAAGGAGATCATGCCATTTGCTTTGATGGCTCTATCTGACTTGGTTTCACTTGTTTTATGATTATCTTTTTTCCTTTGCTCCACCCTTCTGGGCTGTTATAATTTCATCAAACAAAATTTCAGTTGTTTGATACATGAACTCTTTTCTTTGCCTTTCCATTATCCTCCAATATTCAATTACTTTCCAACATTCTTCATTGTTTTAGTCAGTGTATAATATATATTTCTCTAAATGTTATAATCAAGCAGGGAATGATATTATCATATTTATTACCATTGGAAAGGGAGTTTAAGTCAGTGCTCCTCAAACTTGAACATGTCTAAGAATCATCTAGAGAGACTGTTACAACACAGATCGCTGGGTCCCACCCAGAGGTTCTGATTCTGTAGGCCTGGTGTGGGACCTACGGATTTGTTTGTAGTAAGCTTCCAGGAGATGCTGCTGCTCAGGGGACCACACTCTGAGTAGGACTGGTTTAACCCACCTTTACTGTATCCCTCACCATTCCTGCCTTCTTGTGTTTTTAAACTCATTTTTAATATTTTAGAATAATCGTTGTCTTTTGCCTTAATTTTTACAATCAGAATTGCAACATTACATATATTTTAAGTTCATTTCAGAGAGGAAGGGAGAGGGAGAGAGAGATAGAAACATCAATGATGAGAATCATTGATTGGTTGCCTCCTGCACACCCCACACTGGGGATCGAGCCTGCAACCCTTGGGCATGTGCCTTGACCGGGAATTGAACCATAACCTCCTGGTTCATAGGTTGACACTCAACCACTGAGCCACACAGCCAGGCACAACATTTTAAACTTATTTCTAGTTTGTCTGGCTTTAGTATTCAATACTGTGAATTATTTCCTCATATTGGAGCCCTTAAGTGTGCTCTACTCAGAGTATAATTTCAAGTAATTTCTTGAAGATGGGTACGTAGAAGATATAGTATGTTTTTGAGATCTGGCTTTTTCCTTTACACATAAATCACAATTTGTCTAGATATAAAATTCTTAGATTACAACTTTTTCCCTTTAAAACAATTTCATTATCTTTGGCATTTAGTGGTGCAGAAAAGACTGAGGCATGTCCATTTTGGATTCATTTGTATATAATTGCTTTTTTATTTTTAGATGGCCCTATAATTTTTCTTTTTTATATGTATAGTTTTGATAATTCACTAAGATCTATTTAGTTAGGGATCTCTTTATACTGACTCTACCTGACATAAGACGAGCCCTTAAACCTTCATACACAGGCCTTCACACAGGCCTTCCTTCAGCTGAGCAAATTTTTCTTCTATTATATCTTCACAGCTTCTGTCCCACTGGTACAATATCATCAATGATCTGGAACCGGTTCCCCATTCTCCATATTTATCATGTTTTCCTCTAATTATCTCATCTGTTCAAATCTGTCCTTCATATCACTAATTCCATTTCCTAGACTGACTCTGCTCTTTACTACCTGCAATGGAAGTCTTAGTTCTGTTCTTCTATTTTCAGCTTCTCTGAAATCCTTCCTCATCTCACACTTCTCTCTTTGCCCTTTCACCTTATCCTGTTGCTTTCCCACCATATAACTCTGGGCTCCTTTCTCACAGGGTTCATGCTAGGAGCTGTACTGTGTCTTCCACAAATTCAGATGTTCACACGCTACCTCCCAATGTGATGATATTTGGCCAAAAGTAATCTCACAGAACCCAGCCACACTGACACTCTGATCTCTGTCTACCAGCCTCTGGAACTGTGAGGAAATAAATTTCTGTTGTTTAAGCTACGCATTGTTAAGGCAGCCCACGACAGGTCATACTTTCTTATAATCAACTGTGGCTGCCAGAGAGAATTTTCATCTAGATTTCACAATAGATCATTTTCAGATGTATGCTCTTCCCCCGAGTCTCCTAAATTCTCTTTTTCTTGTGATGTGGAATTTCATAGTTCCCCATAGAGGTATTTATTTATTTATTTATGTATGTATGTATGTATGTATGTATTTATTTATTTATTTATTTATTTTCCAGCTTAAGTCTTCCTTATCCACATATAAAAATCAAATAGCCTATGAAGAAATCCAGACTGACTCTGTTTCCGCTGGCACAAATGAACTGCTCTGAATCTTCTCATTATCATGGTAGACCATTACCACAGTAAAAATTCTCAGATCTGGAGCTGGAGAGCAAGCTGACACACAGGACCCCTTCGACCAGCTCCCTCTTCCAGCAGGACGCCTCTGCTCTGCCATGGCTTCGGCTTCCTCCTCAAGTACCTAACTCTCTAATAGTTCAGCTGATGTGGATGTGGAAGGCATACTTCCCCAGCATGCACTGCTACCAGGTTTCTTCCTCTCCCCGCACCTACAATCGCTACTTGTGGCCAACTGGCCCTTCACAGTGTGCCATACTGCTACTGGCTCCTCTTATTCTACGCCTCATCCGTTTCAGGGTTCTGTGGCATTGGTCTGCTTGCAAGACGTGTGAGGAGCCCAAGCAGCAGCAGTCTTAATTCACAAGGCAGCTCCTGAGTGGTAACAAGGGAAAGCATCACACTATTCTAGCAACCTCACTTCCATAGTGCCAAGCTGGGAGCAGCAGAGAGTGGGGAGGGGGGGTAGAGGGAGGTAGGAGGGAACGGACAAGACAAACTCAGTTCAATTTTCTCACTGCAATTCCCTACTCCCTCTGCATCATCTGTGACAATTCCTCCCAGGTCCTAGCACCGGCTGCTGTAAGGCTTAGTCGCCCATATATAGAACAAGTTTCATCTTGTTCTGCACCTTCCGGGTAATAGGGACCACTTACTTAATGCTTCCATGTAAGTGTCAAGGACTAATCTCTTTATAAATATAATCTGAGCTAACCTCCATGACAATCCTGAGGGGAGTTTTATTGTCATCACTGCATTTCAGAATTAAGGAAATGGTGGATTAGAGAGATTACAGTATTTGCAGGATGTCGCAGGCTGATTAGGCGTAGAGCTGGGATTCATACTTGGGATGGCTCTTAAGCTCTCACTCTCAGCTACCCCTTGGCAGCACTGCTCACGTGTGACGCCCTGAATATGAGCCAAGTGCTGGCTAGACACTTGACCCGTTCATCCTGCAGAACAGATCGCGTTCTTGTCCCAATTTACAGAGGAGTCAGAGGAGACTCCAAGGGGGTAAGCAGCTACTAAACTGGTGACGCCAGCATTCGAACCGGGGCCTGTTGGAGTCCAAAGCCAACTTTCATAATTATAATGCTAGGCAGACATGGAAGGGTAGTGCTATGCTGCGACTCCCTGTCCCGTATCTGTCCTGGAACGTGTCTGATTCACATCTGGATCTCCCACAATCTACCTCCTGGCAGGGTTTGCATTGAGGTTTTCATCATTTTCTTTATCTTCAAGGTTATTTTAATGTCACTGTTTATTTTTTTACTATGCATATGACAAGCACGGTGCTAACCACTTTACAGATAGGATCACATCTGCAGTTTCCTGAGAGTTTAAGAGTAAAAATCAAGCAGGGAATTATCCCCTAGGAGGAAGGAGGAAGAAAAGGCATCCAGGGACCCAGCAATGCCTCCCCAAGGCCTGGGACCAAGCGGCTTCACTGTGGTAGTTCCCTCGATTCCCTTCCCTCGGATTTCCACATCCTTTCATTCTATGTCTGAGTGTGTATTTCTGCAAGCTGCCTTCGCCCTTAGCGTGGTGAGGCAGAGCCCATGAAGGTCTTCTCTTGCCGGCAGTAAGAAGGCACAGGAAGTACATGTAAATTTTTGAGGGCTGGACCAGTCTCACGTGTGAGACGCTACCACCACCTCCAGTCCATTCTCCAAGTCATAATGGCCTTCCTAAAACGCAAACTGAATTAAGTCCCTTCCCCATTTAGTAAACTTTCCTGGCTCAGCTCACTCCCCTCAGCATTAGATCTTTAGGTCTAAATAACTTCATCCGGTATTTGAGCCTCTCCAAGACCTGAATTCAGAATCGACTGGCCTTTCAATTCCCAGAAAAGTGCTGCTCTCCTGCCTTCGAGGGGATGCAAGGGCTTATTCCCCACTCTGGTTCCCCACTCAGAAGCCTCGTGGACTCCCAAGGCTGGTCAGGCACCCCTGGCACCCCCAGCCGCCCGTGCTTCTAGGTATGCTGGAACTATTCCTCACTGACCTGCGGGCTCCCTCCCGTGTTCCCCAAAGGGAGGGCCACATCTGTCTTGCTCACTGCTGTGTCCCCACAACACTCAATACAGGTGTGCGTGGCTCCTGCCCTCGGGGGTTTCTAGGACAAGGACAGATTGTCTGCATATGGCTCCCCTGGACAGCTCCACTGGCTGATAAACCCCTTCAGGTGACAATAACAAGTTATTTTCCGAGCACCTATTATGTACCAGGCACTGTGCTAATTGATAGGTGATTGGTAGCCACGATCTCATTTAATCCCCCAACAAACCTGTGGGGAAATGTCACCCTCATGCCACAGGTGAGGAGCCGAGGCTCAGGACGGCTAACAGACTGCCAGGGCACCAACCAGGTGCTGCCTTCACTGCTCTGACCTTGACCCTGTGCTGTCCTGCTTCTCCAAAGCTGAATCTCAACACTGACTGGCCCATTTGACAGGTGGGCAAAGTGAGGTGCAAGAAGGCCAGTGGCTCGCTAGCCAGGCGTTCCTGCCGGATGAGCAATGCCACCCTCTCCCAGCAGCGGAACCCACCTTGCCACCCTCAGCCAGCCCCCGCCTGTCTCCCCACCCAGCCCCGGCCCCAAGGAGAGGCCCGCATACTTGGCCCGATTTTCTGGAATGGTTCCGGGGGTTCCTCCTTCACCTCTTCAGCGGCCACGACGCCTTGGTCGAAGGGGTCTGTGGGAGAACACGCGGCCCTTAGTGCCCTGGTCACCAGGCCTCGGGAGCCTAGCTGGGGACCAGGGAGGTGGCCAGCCACCAAGTACTTACCTGCCCGATTCTCGGGGGCCCCTTCCACACTAAACACTGCACCGGGGCAGGAGGCAGCAGCCGCAGGAGGGAAAAAGCAAACAAGGGCCCTGTTAGTCCCCACCCACAGCTGCCTCTGCCCGCCGCTCCCAGCCCCGTCCACGTGCACTTGCCCTTTCGGCCGAGGGGTGCGGCCCTGGCCAGTGTGCAGGCCCAGAAAACCAGCGGCCAGAGGAGGGCGCGTCCCAACCAGGACACAGCCTGTGTCTCCACGCCTCTCCCTCCCACGGCAGGGCCTAGCCCGGGGTACAGCCATTCTGTCTGTCCTGTTTCTGGATCATCAGCACCCAGTGGAGGGCCAGGGCGGGAGAAAAAGAGAGAGAGACCGGGAGGAGAGGAATGAGGAGGCGAGAAGGATGAGCCAATAGGTGGGAAGCTGGGTTGTCACAGCTGGAGATGGGCTGGGGGGTGTGCGGCTCCAGCGGGAGCCCCCAAGATCCTCCCAGAACCAAGACCCTATTTCTAGGATTCTTCCGTTTCCAAAAACAAATTACCTAAATTTATTGTTCTAATTCCTAACTCTGTAATCTAAGACACTAAAATACCATCGTTCATTTTTAAAAATTGGTTTAATTTCACCAGAGCATGTGAATACTCAATATGAAATCTGATAATAAATTGATATAAAATTGTGGGTATTCGACTGCTTTTGATTTACAAAGCCAGCAATTTCACTCGGGTTTCCCTACTCCAGTGATGGCGAACCTATGACACACGTGTCAGAGATGACACGCGAACTCATTTATTTGGTTGATTTTTCTCTGTTAAATGGCATTTAAATACATAAAATAAATATCAAAAATATAAGTCTTTGTTTTACTATGGTTGCAAATATCAAAAAATTTCTATATGTGACACGACACCAGAGTTAAATTAGGGTTTTTCAAAATGCTGGCACGCCGAGCTCAAAAGGTTCGCCATCACTGCGCCTACTCAGAAGTATGTATGGAGTGTGACGGGGACCTTTTCTCCCCGGGATCCTCAGGGGTTGGGCGGGTCCCTCATGGTCCGGCTGCTGCATGACCTTCATCTGGGGAGGCAGAGGGAGGGGAGGGGGCCAGATAAGCGGCCCTGGGTGGGGGGTCTCTCTATGGGACTCACTCCCCGGGAGTGAGGGGCCTGGCTCACCATCCACCGCGTGCAGGTCTCGGTGCTCTTGGAAGCAGCTGTAGTACTTGTACTTCTTGCCGCAGATGTCGCACGTGTACCTGAAATTGTCTGTGGGGGACGGAAAGACAACACGTGGTCACCAGGGCTTCAGTCACTTGGGGTGGAGTTTTGGGGGCCAGCTCATCTGCCTCGGGAACCAAAGAAAAGGACTAGCTCAGACGGACCCCAACGGGTGACTCCACAGAGAATCAGTTCTGGGGTGTCAGGGTCCTCTACACAGGCAGACCGGGAAGCCCTGAGGTGACTTTCAAACCAACCCCCAATCTCACCTCCTGTGAGCTGAGCTCCTAAGGGCTGGGTCATAACTGGTCCCACCCTCCTCCGTATCCACTAGTCCTTGCATCTGAGGGTTACTACGTCCTCACAGGGAAACTGAGGCTCAGAGGGACCTGCCCCAAACCCCACAGCCTCCGAGATGGCTCCCAATGACCCCGGCCTCCTGGTGCTCATGCCCTGTGTGTTTCCTTCCCCCGGAGTCTGGGCAGGACCCAGCGACTTGCTTCTAATGAAGAGAATGCAGTGAAGTGACGGAACCACTCTGGGATCAGTCAGAGGACATGACCCTTCCGGCTCACACCATCTCGCTCTTGTTAGCAGAGGTGCTGTGAGCTGCCCCGCAGAGACCAGGGGGCAGCCTCGGGTGAGCAGCCGGTGGGGTGCTGAGGCCCTCAGGCCAAGAGCTTGGGAAGGACCAGTCCTGCTAGCAGCCACATAGTGAGTGTGCAAGATAACTGGATGTGGAGTTAACCTTTTATTTTCTTAGTTGAGAGATGGGTAAGTGGGTAGATGCCTCTACGTGTGAATGTACAATTTTTCTCACCAATAAATGAAAGATGCCTGGACTAAAGGCGTGAAACCTGGTCTCCGTGCCCACCTCCACCCCCAACAAGTGGTATGACCTCTCTCTGGGACTCGGGAGCCTCATCTGCAGGATGGGAAGGCCAGGCTTGCTATTCCCAATGGGACCCTCTGGCTGCAGGACTCCGTGGCCGGGCTCCCGTGACAAAGCCGGCGTGTGAGGAAGCCGGACTTTCTGAGCAGACACTGCTGGCCCGGGTCCGAGTAGGAAGTGGAAAGTGATGGAAGGACTAAAAACAGCTCAAGCTACAGAGTCCTCAACAACCTGCGGGCCCGCGACAAAGGCGGAAGCCAGACAGAACACAACCTATCATTGAGAGGTTGCCGGGGAAGCCAGGAATAGCCGAGGGAGGAAACATAAACCGGAAAGTTCTTTAAATGGGTGGCTGACCACAGGCAGACCGTGGAGCCGGAGGAGAAGGAGCTATAGGGAGAAGGAGCCAGGGGCCAGGCTGGGCGAGGCGGGGCTGGGAGGAGGGCCAGGCCTTCGCCTCCTCCCAGCCCTGGGCCCTCTGGCAGGTGCTGGCCAACCTGAGCCTCCAATGAAAGAAGAGTAGCCTCAGGCCTGCCTGCCTGCCTATCACAGGGGTAAGAATCAGAGAGCAAGAATCAGAGAGCGGATGGGGAAGTGCCTCAGGGGCATGTTCTTAGGACCAGTGCTTTGGCCCCAGGCCCTTGTTTTGGATTTTTCCTGGGGGGGGATGTGTTTATATTTTAAGAAGCTTTTGATGGAGGTCTAACAAGCACAGAGATAGAACAGGAGTTCCTATCTGAGCTGCACGCAGAGATGAGCAGTTGTGACAGAGGCGTCCGGTGCCCTGCAAAGACTAAAATGTTTACTACATGGTCCCCTATGAAAAGTGGGGTACAAATCCTAAGTGCGCAGCTTGTTCAGTTTCTGTAAACTCAAAACACCTGTGTGACCAGCGCCCAGCTCAAATATCACCCCCAGAAGCCCGTCCTAACGGTGACCAGGACGCTGACTCTTCCAGCATGAACTCCCGTCCCCAGTTTTTGCACATCCTGTATGCAGACCTAAGGAGGGACTCTTGTCCCGGCTTCCTTTGCGAATACTGTCTGTGGGTAATGCACGCTGCTGTGTGTAAGTCTCTATCTCCGTCTCTCCATGCTGTGCTGCAGTCCTTCGCGTGAACACGCCGTGACTCATTTACCCCTTCAACCTCCTGGGCGCTCACTCGGGAGGTCCCCAGTTTGGAGCCGTTACACATAGTGCTGCTAAGAGCATCCCAGTTCCATGGCAGGGTGGACATGCGCACACACTGCTGCTGGGGATACACCTGGGGTGAAGCCGCTGGGCCCCGAGGCTCGGGGCTGTGGGTTGGGGAGGGACAGTTGCAGCCCAGCCCACAGCCTTCTGGCTGCTGTTACCAGGCCCGGGGGTTAGATGTGTAGGGAGGGCACGCAGGGCCTGGGACTCCGCACCCCAGTGATTGGTGCCCACGGGTGCTCATGAGATAACTCTCTGGAGCAGGAGCCCCCACACATCGGCTATGGAGCCCCAGACCCACAATGGGAGTCAAAGAACAGAGGCCCCTGCACCCACTGGGCCCTCCTGGAAGGGCCTGGGCGTACCTGCCAGCGAAGGGCCTGGGAAGTCTACAGCAAGAAACCCGTTCTTCTATGCAAGGCTCAAGGTTCCCCGGGCTGTCTGGCCAGAGAACCCTTTCCTGATAGGGCACTGAGTATGTCTCGGAACACACTTTGGGAAAGGCTGTTCGGAGTTACCATCTTACAAGTTCATAAGGACCCACTGGTCCCAAAGCCTGGACCGCAAGAAATGTGTCTCCCAGAAGCCATGTGGGACCTCCTGGTGATGGGGGGATAAGAGCATCTCCTTCCACCCCTGGCTCTCTCGGCCCCCCTCCCCCTCCCCAGAAGCCCACAAGGAGGGGAAAATACTCACTGCCTTGGGAGGCTCCCTCCCCTGAGGTGGCTTCAGTGTCTGTAAGAGAAAAGGGGGAGGGAGGGGGAGGGGGAGAAGGGAAGGGGGAGGGGGAGAAGAGGGACGGGGGAGGAAAAGAGGGAGGGGGAGAGAGAATGAATGAGAAGGAGGTGGGTACACTGGACCAACGGCAGGGCTGGTGAACACACTACAACATGCCCAGGGGCCCTCTCTCCAATGCAGAAGGCAAGGAACTGAGCCTCTCCATTAGTCCCCACCCCTCCTCAGTCAAAGCCCTGCCCCAGCCTTCTCTCCCTGTCTGCCAGGCTCAGGGAGTGTCAGGCATCATCCCCCGGTCCCCTCAGCTTCAGCGTCCTCATCTTCAGAATGGAGAGGGCCTCCCTGCCCCGACTCTAGGGCCATAGTGGGGAGCATGCGAGACGACACTGAGCAGCACTGAAGCATTCTGGGAGAAATCAGGCCTGTGAGGAGCAGGCAGGAGGCACTGGTGGTAGAAGTCTGGTGGCATGTCCTGCTGCCCCCACCCCACCCCAAATAAAGGAAGCTCCCCCTCTCCTCCTGGGGTCTCCCTCCTATTGCAGAAAGAGAGAGAGAAGCCTGGGGCTCACAGGGCCTCTAGTCACCCAGGAGGGGTCCAGGTGGAAAACCAGGAAGCCCCCTGACTCTGCCTAAGGGCACACCACTCACCTCGGTGTGCGCGTACGTGGGTCTGGAAACAGTTGTAATACTTGTACTTCTTGCCACAGATTCCACACTCATAGGACCCTGGAAACAAGCAAGAAAGGGACCGCTCAGCCAGCACCCAATACAGGCAGTCATGAGGCCCCAGTGCCTGCAGGGATGCCTCCGGGGACTGCTAGCTCTGCTCAAGGGGCAGCGCGCTCATCCGTTGGCCGTCTTGTCCCCAGTAAGCAAAGAGGCAGCAGGGCCCAGCAGAGACATCCCCGAGGCCATGGGAGGGAGAAGTGGTGATCACCAGGGCAGAGGTCTCCTGAGGATGAGAAGGTGGGGAGCAACCCTCAGCTCCACCATTTGCACCCAGCCAGCCCTAGAGAAGCTCAGACACATCTCAGGATACACAAAATGCAGCAGGTAGAACTCCAGAGAGGGGAAGGAGAGAAGGAAAACACGAGTGGGGGCAGAGAGGACGGCCCCTCACAACGGGCAGGCCTGTATTTAGCTCAGAGCATCACACGGCCACTGCTTACAGATCAAATGCCGAGGAGGAACCCGCCGCTTGGTTCTAGGATGCAACAGAAGCTGGGCCCAGGGTGGTCTAGGGAAAGGGGGCCTGGAGAGGTAAGTCGTGGACACGTGGGTTTCCAGAGGGTCCCTGGGGCTTGGCCTCAGACCAAATGTCCTCTGAACCAGCGTCTTCCAAGTCCAGTGCAAGTCCCCTGGGAATATGGGAGCACAGGCCGTTGAAAACACTTCCAAATGTTCTTTTCCTAGAAGCAACATGACAGAGCAGTGGCAGCAGGCGGGGGGCCCCTCCGCTGCTCTCCTTCCTTCTCTCCTCTCACCTTCACCTTCTCCCACATTACGGGCAAGACAATTCTTTTCTTAAAATATACTTTTATTAATTTCAGAGAGGAAGGGAGAGTGAGACAGAAACATCAATGATGAGAATCAATCATTGATCGGCTGACTCATGCACACCCCTCACTTGGGATGCAGCCTGCAACCCGGGCAGGTACCCTGACCGGGAACTGAACCGTGACCTCCTGGTTCATAGATGGATGCTCAAGCACTGAGCCACACCAGCTGGGTGACATGACAGCTCTGTCATCCACCCAATTCCACCCTGTGTGTCCTCCATGGGCGGTTATCATCCCAGGGCTCCAAGCAAAGGTGAGATCTGAAACATCGGGTATCGGACTTGGGAAGTGGTCTAGTGACTGAGAACAATTCCTCTTGTGATTCTAGAGCTTTCTAAGTCTCAGCTCTCAACAAAATTGAAGATCTAATGGGGTTGTCAGTGGAGAGACCATTAAAAATAATGTCTGATGAGATGCCCACATGTCATTTTGGACCGACAGCTTGGAGTTAAAGAACTAAGTGACACTGCTAACACAAACCGCCACCCCTCCCTGCCTCCTGATTTATGTGATCAAGCTTTTAAGCACTCGCACTTACGAAAACCGAAACACGGGAATTAAGTTAATGCTGAATCCTGTCTCATTCAACATATAAGAAATATTAATTCACAGAAACATGAACCAATTGAAACAGAAAGCCCATCCGTTTTATGAAAAGGTGTATTTTCGATAACATTTTCCTTGTACATTTACGATCGCTCTAAATTTGTTTTTGGCAAATTGTATGCTGATAACAACTCTATCTGGGGAAGAAAATGTTTTAAAATATAGAGCTTTATGATCCCAACATATTTTTTAGAAATTTCAATTTACATACATCTTGTTGTGGGAGATGAGTGTGAAACAGTGATCAATAAAAGACTCTCAAGCATAAAAAAATATATTACATTAGGATAAAGTCCTGTGAGGGAAGTGGACTGGAAATATGAGTTCAAGGAGAAAAAGGAAAGATGTAAAATTTCTGACTGTTAAAGATGGGCCTGTTCATACGTTTCATAAATGGATGATGGTAGATACGTAGATACGAGCAGCAGTGGGGTTTGGGTTATCTTGGCTACATTTAAAAGAGTGGTTCACAGTTTTGTTTCAAATGCCACATTTTTACACAATATGCCAGAAATTATACCCTTTGTAATTGCGTAAATGTTGGATTAAAATGTTAGATGTCAACACAAAAATGTGAAAGAGAATATCGTTTCTCAAAATTCTTGTAGGAGATACTGAACAAAAAAGTGTGAAGCCATAGGTCCTTTAGATTCTTATCTTTCCAGAGGTAACCCCAGATGTGTCTGAGGCTTCGGCTAATCCCACTGGTATCTGTTTTGCATTTTGCCCCCCCCCCTTTTAATAAGAGATTATTTGAATTTATTTGAGCTACCTGATGACAGGCCAAGAAGCAAGATCTCAAGTGCTCCCCTGTCCCCCTTAAAAAACACTTTCATGCCTATTACTTCACTCTGCTCCCAGTGAACCTACCGGCAGATTCTATTATACTCACTGATCAACCCAGACAGTATGGCTCAGAGAGGTTGCGGGGTCTGTCCAAGGCCCCATAGCAGGGCAACACGCTGAGGCTCTTGGCTTAGAGCCTTAGGGCCTTTGCCAATGGGGACCCTCCAACTGGGATCCCCTTCCCACCTTGGACACCCCAATGAACAGTCTTCAGCGGAGACAAGATGCACCTGGGATGGTGCCAAACCCCTCCTTTCTGGGTGGCTCAGCAAAGAGCTGAGTGTTGGTTCTGGCAAGCTCCAGCGCCAAGCCCTGCCAACAGCCTGTTGAAACAGGAAACTAACTATCAGCTGGCACTTGGAAGCAGGACCTGGCACCTTGGCTGCTGGGTTTGTCACAGACCAAACTCATGTGGCCTTGTCTGAATGGCTGTCTGCTCTTCTGCTGCTCCTTCCAAAGCTGAGGCCCCTTCCTCTTCTTCTTCTTCCTCCTCCTCCTCCTCCACCTCCTCCTCCTCCTCCTCCTTCTCCTGCCCCTTTTCCCCAGACAGCCCTGTGCATGTGTGGAAACACCTCCACTCCTTGGTGCTCACAGCTCGCTGCCTAGAAACATCCTTGCAGGAGCCATTTTCCCAGGTGATCCCTGACTCCCCCTCCTGCACCCCTACAGTGACCCTCTCTGCGGACCCACCTCCAGGGAACTCCCTCCCTCACAGGCCTATATCCGGTTACGGTTCCCATAATCACAAAGTCCTTCCTTTTACTGAGTTGAAATCACCTCCCGGTAACTACCTCAGATTGGCTGGGGCTGCTTGGGATGTGTCTGCTCCATCCCCTTTCACCAAAATACTTATAGATTCTATCATCTCCCCGGCCCACAGCCCCGCTCCCCATACAAACAGCCCTTAGCTCTGCCATGAGGCTCCTCCCTACACTGAGTTAGTTAACTCTGGAATAATCTGTTGGCCCACACCCCTCCGCTGAGGAAGAGCCCAGCTGGTCACCTGCTCCCTCCGTGGGCTCCTCAACCACGAGGGAAGCCCTGACCACCCACCAGGTCTCCAGGTACCGGGGGTTCTCCCTGGGCTCCTTCGCGTGGAACCTCTCTGGAGGAAGGACCCATAGTCCCACAGCACAGAGAAGAGCGCCCACTGCCTGGTGGGACATTCTGACCACCCGGTGGGACTGGGCATGCTTCTCTCTCTGAACCAGAAAATGCTCCGTGGGCCGGAGGTCCTGATCGCTACAAACCCAGCTTGCTTGGTCCTCACCATCTAAGTCAAGGACGGCAAGCGGTTTTCTGCTTCAGGGTTTTCAATGCTGGCAGACGGGCCGTGACTTCTTGGTATCCTGTGTTAACGAGGATTCTAAGGTGCTTCGTTGGGACAGTATGCAGTGCTCAACTGGCGATGCCATGGATGCAGAACTGGGGCGTAGCCGTGGTCACCCCTTATTAGCACTCCTCACAGAGGAGCTCCCGAAACCTCACGTGTGGTCCTGCCATGCCTCGGGGCTGCTGTGCAGACTTCTGCCTGTGGCTAGTCGGGAGGGAACAGGCAGTTGTCAGCTCACTTCCGGTTTTACCCAACAAAGTTGTCACAGTCAGTATTATCCCTGCTCTTCTCGCTAAATAAGGAAGCTCAAGGTCTTGCCCCTAAGCCCCATACCAATGGCCGTGATGTGCTTTCTAAGAGTGAGAGACACCCTTCTCAGCACAAGGGTGGCAGCAGGGAGGTGGCAGCCACCGCTGCAGGCTTGGCAGCCAGCCAGCCTCCCGGGCACTGATGCCCCTTCTGACTCTCCCAGCCTGAGAAGCTGCCAAATGCCACCCACGTGTCCATGACCTGGGCTCATCCATGGGAAGTGCCTCGGATAATATGTGTCATTGGGAGCACTGTTTGTCTGATGGTCGTCGAAGGGCCAGTGAAGACACGGGGAGGGGGGATGCCAAGGGGGATGGAGCTTCGAGAGAAGGCAAATGGGAGGGTCCCTCGTGGCACTGCACGGGCGATCAAACAGGACCACTATTCTAGTCATCAACAGAGCCCGGCTCTGAGCCCTGAGCATGGCACTCAGGAGGCCCTTGGCTCCCCAAAGCCCCGCTCTCCCCGGCCGACTGACTGGGGAACATGTTAACTCTTTGACGCCTGGCCTTGTGGCACAGGCTCATCTAAAGGGATGGCTCTACCCAGCACTCACCCCAGGTGAGACCCCGGGGAGTCCTTCCCTTCCAGAAGTGAGTGGGCGGGGGTGCTGTGAGGTGGAGCAGGGCCTCCACAAAGTGGAAGAAAATGTCACCGGCCTGCTGTGTGACTCAGGGCGGCTCTCTTTCTTTCCGTGGGCCTTTGTTTGCCCTTCTATAAAATGAAGGGGACACGGGTATCAAATCTATAGCATGTGTAGCCCCACCGCCCACGTCCACAGCCATGGCAGACATGAATAATCAATCATGCCACCCTTTAGAAGCTTCAACACAGACTCCACTGAGCCTGCTGCAATTACTTGGACTTGGTCCACAAGATAAAATTTACTTGCCATCCTATGATTAGATGAGTTCATAAGGCTCAATTCTAACACTGATGTGTGTGTGTGTGTGTGTGTGTGTGTGTTGCTGTTGTTAAATGCTTTTCTTTCCTGGTGCTGAGGCCAAGCCACATTCCTCTGAGCCTGACCCTTGGCAGAAACTACACCCTCAAGGAAGGTCGGACTGGATGGATGCGAGAGGAGCGGCCACGACCAGCAGGGGGCGCCCTGGGCCTGTTTGGTATGGACTCCATTAAAAAGGTGGTTCCATTTCTAACTTGTCATTGGCTTTTACACCTTTTCACAAGGGTGTGCCAAAAGCAGGTAACTCAGAGATGCTCAAAGTTCCTGAATTCTAAGGAGGCGGTACTGGAAGGAGCGCCAGGGACTGGATCAGTTAGTTTTCAGATGAGAAAACCGAGGCCCCATTAGAACCCCTGTCTTCTGATACTTCATCCACAAGTCTCTTCTCCATCCCATTTCTCGTCTCTCCGTCACACTGGCTTATCTCTTACACTTGGGGGACAAAAGCAGAAATATTACTACTCCTTCCCCTTGAAGAGGTACTTTTTACTATTAATACCAGTACTAACAATAGCTAACCACTTACTAAGTACAATGTTGAGCGCTTTACATAGATCATTTTTACTGAATCCTCAAATAGCCCAATGAATCTGCAATAGTGAAACCTGAGACAGAGAGGTCAAGTAACTTGCCCAAGGTACAACAGCTATTAAGCCACAGTGGGTCTCACCGAGGGTCTGCTCCCTGGATTCACTCCCAATCCTAGGAGACGAGTTCGTTCTCGCGGCACAACAGTGATTCCCACGCCCCTCCAGCAGCCAGGACAGGGAGCATGCCTCATTTAACAGAGGACGACACTGAGGCACAGCGAGGCCAAGGGAAACCAGCCTGGTGACTGGCATGCGGCCAAGGCCCTGAGGCCTCTCACTGCGCAGGCAGCTGGCCCAGGAAGGGCTCCCCACATTTCCCTAGCATGGCTGCTCCAGGCTTTCCCTGCTGAATCCAGACGGCCAGCTCCATCCCAAGATTCAAATTCAACTACCCTTCTGGGCAGCTCCTGGTGGAGGGCATAAAGAGCTACTGGGTCCAATGAGTCTTAAAACCACACCACACCACCATCCCCCCGCCCCCCTCCCCCAAGTGAACATGGCCCTGAGGCAGCCCCCCCCCCCCCCCCCCCCCAAGTGAACAAGGACATGTCCTCTCCTTGGTTAACTAGGTTAACTAACACATCTAGTGGCTAACAGTCCTCAGCCTTGGGGAATGAACACTGACAGATGGAGGCCAGGCACAGGCCCTGACAGGAGTCTTCTCTCATATGGCACTGGGCTAAGTCCCTCACGCTCTTCACCGATATCTCGGGTTCATCCTCCTTCTGTCACACGCTAGCGTGGCATTTCCCGGCCTCCAGAGGTTGGGCAGGCCACGTCACTAGTTCTGGCCCATGACTGCACGGAGTTAGCACTTCTCACTTCGGGTCGCAGCAGGTTAACTGCCAGTGTGAGTCCCCCTAGAGTTTTCTCTCCCTCTGACACAGGGTGGCAGCATTCCCTACAATGGCGGCTTTTAGCCTGGGTCCAGAGCAGGGTGGAGCCCCTAGCTCACCCACAATGGACACGTAGTGTGACTGAGAAATACACCTTTGTGGTTTTTAGCTACCAAGATTGCTTTTTTACTTTTGGGATCTCCATTTCTGTGGCATAACCTTGCCCCGTCCTGACAGTTTCAGCACCAATGTCAGCCCTGCTTCCTCGACGCTAGGACTTTGCTAGGAGAACCTAGGGACATAGACCTGACAGGTCCTGGAGCTCCACTTCCAAGAGTTCCTCACCTTGTGGCAGATGAGCATGGACCAGGCACCTCGAATGAGAAGTACCCTAGTGAGAGACAGGGTAGAAACACACCACTTCTGACCAGAAGAAATCAAGGAAGCCTTCTGGGAAGAGGTGGCAATATAGTTGGCCTTGAAGGAGGGGTTGGATTGGGGCATGAGGAAATGGGCAAAGGCTTTCCAAAGAGAAGGTACAGCAAGGAGAAAGGGCAGGAAATGCTGCAGAACAGACTGCACTGGAGTGAAAGGTCCGGAAAGATCAGAAATAAAAAATGAGGCTCAAAGGCTCAGGTTATGTAGATTCCTGGTGCTATCCCCTAGAGCAAGGGTGGGCAAACTTTTTGACTCGAGGGCCACAATGGGTTCTTAAACTGGACCGGAGGGCCGGAACAAAAGCATGGATGGAGTGTTTGTGTGAACTAATATAAATTCAAAGTAAACATCATTACATAAAAGGGTACGGTTTGTTTTGTTTTTTTTTTAGTTTTATTCATTTCAAACAGGCCGGCCCGCGGGTCATAGTTTGCCCACAGTTGCCCTAGACACAGTGGGGAATCCCAAGTTTAGAATCAGGGTGTGACATGCTCAGTGTCCTGCTTTGACCAAGGCCCCTGGCAGCCAGAAAGGAGAGCAGGTGAATGCAGGGAGACACACAGGCATGGTGGTTAGCGGGATGCCACAATGACCCAGGTGCTGCAACCAAAAAGGAACAGGTAGAATAGGGAGCTCCAGGCTCATTCCCAAGGTTGGAAAGATAAGGCAACAGGACTTGAGCCAAACTTGGGGAAACAGACACAGGGGAAGTTCCCCACCTTGGACGTGAGCCTAGAAGTCAGGAATGAGTTAGAGCTGGACCAGGAAGGACCGGCAGAGGCGAGGGAGATGGCAGAACTTCTTAAGAACTTTCTAAGAACACACTGAACACAGGAAGCGAGCAGGAAGGCACTCCGAAACAGACCAGGCGAGGCCTCGATGCCAGCCTGGGGCATGTGGACTTTATCTTACAGACTTAGGTTTGCAAACTTCTGGCCCATGGAATGTCTCTGACCCACAGACATGTTTTGTTTGGAATATTTAGTTGCCGACATTTAAAGCCAAAGGAATTCACATGAAAATTCTCACTTCTGGCACCCGGTACACCCAGAGAGCTGGCCACACTGAGCCTGCCTCCCCACCAATTACAGTCGGCAGCAGCTGAGGAGCGAGCCCCCTCTGCACGCGGGGTGTGGGCGCTCCAGCTGGACTGGGTCCCCACCACCTGCCTGCCTGGCTCATCCCTCCTCGTGCTAAAGAAACATATCTGTGGGGCCTCAGAGAGCCTGTCAGGAATGCAAGCAGCCCGAGGGGTATCCCCTGGCTCAGGCTGAGAAGCGAGGGAAGCGACGATTTCTAAGAAGCTTGTTTCCACAGAGCTCCTCTGAGCCCGGCCCAGATCAGAAGAGGCAGGGGTAGGAGGTACCAGTCCGTCCCCCATCCAGTCCTGACTGAGCATCTGCTCTGAGCAGGACCTGCACTGGGAGCTGCCCCGGGAGCCTCCAGTCCAGCACAGGAGGTGGAAATACCGACAGGCATTTGGGACACCAGCCAACTAGCAGGCTGCGCTAGACCCCCCTGGGGCATGGGAGCCCCACGCATGAGGGACTCACTGGTCTGCAGAATGTTCCAGGCATTTGACTTAAAGTCTCAAAGGATGCGTGGTGTTTTGTCGTGTCAGGTGGAGAGAGGAGAGCTCTGGACTAGAGCTGTGCTGGCAGAGAGAGTCTAAGGAGACCAGTTCTTTCCCCGAGGGCCGAGGGCAGCCACCACAGGCTCTTGGCCAGGAGGAGCAGAGATCTGGGGCCTTCACTGCCCAGGACTCTGGGCCCAGCCCCAACCCCCTCGGGGCAAGCACTCACCGAGGGTCTGCTGGTTGCGGACGCCGCCGATCACCACGCAGATCTCGGCGGGCACGTCGCCAGTCCCATCCTTGCTGACCGCCTTGCTCTCCTCCTTGGCCTCGCCCTGCCAGATCACCTCCTGGATGTAGTCGTCGGGCACCTCTGTCTTCACCTTCACCTCCGTCATCGTTCCCTGCTCGGCGCTCAGCGAGGCCTCGGCCGGCACGGGCTCCGGCCCCTCCACCTTGGCGCTCTTCTGGCTGCGCTTCAAGCGCTCCCTGGGGAAGAAGAGAGTCTGTTCAGAGTGGACCCCATGCCCACCCCCAGGCCCACCTGGGGGCCCACCAGCCCAGGGTGGCACGATCTTTAGCTACAGACCCACCTGTCACATGGACCTCTCCTTGAAGCACCTGGCCATGGCTGCCCCTGAGGGTCCTCCGGGAACCCTGGGGCTCCCAGGAACACAGTTTGAAAATACTGGGCTAGCCTGGCTCCACCACCACCTATTTTACAGAGGGGGAAGCTGGGGTCTAAGGAGGTCTACCTGTGCCCAGGAACTCCTGGAACTGGCTCTGGCTGATGGAAATAACTTCTCAAGCTTCACATAAATGAGAATCGTGGCAAAACGCAGATTCTTGTTCGGCAAGTCGGGGTTTGGCCTGAGATTCTACGATTCTAACCAGCGCCCCCTGACGCTGGTGCTGCTAATCCTCCTTCCGCACAAGCAGCAGCAAGCGCGTACGTGGTTCGATGTGCGAAGTGTCTGGTGCTGCTCTCTTCGCTCCTTGGCAGGAGGCCTAGAGACCTCATCCAAGCTCTTCCCGCTCCAGTGCCACAGACGGGGAAACTAGAAGCCAGAGAGGCTCACTGGGTTGAGATGTCCTGGAGCCAACACTTGGCGCCCAACACGCTGGCCTCTAAGTGGCTCTTCAAATATCAGAAAACATCCTCCAGGTAAGAGCTCAGTACTGAGGCGGGCAGGACAGGTGGACACGGAGGCCTGGAGCAGAGCTGTGACTGGCCCTGGGCCACACACAAGACTGGTGGCAGGTCACAGCATGAAGCCCGGTCCCTGCTATCCACCCCTGAATGGTGTTATCATAAGGACTCGCTCATGCTCCTGGCAGGAGACTGTCACCACTGCTCCTGCTTCTGAGGTGGGGAAGCTAAGATGTGCAGAAACTGGGAAATCGAGTCAGATTCCAGGCCCGGGGCTGCTGCCCTGGCCACGCCCAGCCTCCTCCACTGCTTCAGAGAAGCGTCTGCAGGGCGACCTTCAAGGCCCAGACTCTAGGCCGCTCGGGCAAGACTCCCTGGCATACCAGGTGGGAAGCAGGGGCCCAGGTTCTGATCCATGACCCACAGTGGCCTTGCTGTGTGACTTTGGACAAGACCCTTCTCCTCTCTGGGCTCCAGCTTCACCTATCACAACAGCATGGGTTTTATCACATCTCTGTCCCTCCCAGCTCTGTCCAGGGTGAAGAAAGTGAGGGGAGAGGGAGGGGGGGGAGAGAGGGAGAGAGAGAGAGAGAGAGAGAGAGAACTCAAACTAACAAGGGGGCGGAGAAAGGCCATTGGAGGTGCTATACACTAAATTGTGTCCTCAACCCCCCAAGTCACATGGTGAAGCCCTAATCCCCAGTGTGACTGTATCTGGAGAGAGGATTTCGACAAGGTAATTAAGGTTACATAAGGCCATCAGGGCGGGGCCCTATGATTGGACTGTGGCCTCAGGTGAGAGACAGAGGGACTCCTCTTTCTCTGACTCTGTCCCCACTGTGTGAGGACACAGAGAAGGTGGCTGTGTGCAAGCTAGGAAGAGAGTCCTCACCAGCACCCAACGCTGCGGGCCCCCAATCTCAGACTTCCAGCCTCCAGAACCGGGAGAAGGCGTCCAGCCTATGGTACTTCGTTAAGGCAGCCTGAGTTGACTAATACAGGAGGCCAGGACTCGGACGAAACGGATAGGAATGAAAAGGCAGGCAGAGGGAACACCAGCCACTGGTGAGGCTATGGAGTCCGTCACTTCCGGTGTGACGTGAGCCAGCTCCCGAACCTCTGAGCTTCAGCTTCACATCTGCAAAATGGAGCTAACGTGGTTCTCACATGGGTTTCCATCGACCAAGGCTTGAAAAACACAAGCACCGTGCCTGGCCCGCAACCGCTCTCAAGACAAGGCTGCCATTCTATTACTATTATTCATAATGGCAAACTGTCAGCACATCTTCGGCACCCGGTGGGCCCAGTGATGCCTCCTAGGGTGCCTGGTACATCACGGCCAGACGCTGTCTGACCTCGTGCCCTTCTCCTCGGTGGGAAACGTGAAACTGGGTGACTCAATCCTCTCAGCATTCATTTCCTTTATTGATTTAAGAAACACTTCAATAAAGTATCCTATGTACCAGGCACTGCTCTAACACACAGACTCCGCTTACCCTCAGTAACAGCCTGTGAGGTAAGTCCTGGTATTATCTCCATTTTACAGATGAGGAGACTGAGGCACAAGGTGAAATAACTTGTCCAAAGTCACATGGGCACAAAGAAGCGGAACCAAGAATTGATGCAGGCACCCTGGCTCCCAGCTGCCACATGCTTAGACTGGGAGAGCACCCATCAGAGGGAAGCTGCCCCCCGCGCCCTGCGGCCCCATCACCATTCCTGCCCTTCAGCATCCGAACAGAGTCAGGCCAAGGTGCTAGTGAATGTGCAGGAAGGCGGGAGGCTCCTGGCTTTTTGGCTGCTGCTGCCTCCCCAGATATCTGGAGCTATAGTCCCTCTGCTGAGGTCCAGAGCTCCCCTTGGGAGGGCATCATGCCTATTCCATCCCCCCGCAAAAAGCCTTTGAGTTCAGGGAGTCCCAGGAGCATAACCAGGACCAACAGGTCTGAGAAGTTACAAGGGACAGCTATGGTCTAGGAGGGAGAATATTCCAGCCAGCCAGCCAGCCAAACGAGGGGCATGCTTAGGGTGGGGAGCTCCCTGGCCCTGAGGCACTGGAGCAGGAGTTGGCTCAAGGCCTGGCAGGATGGGATGTGATGACCTGAGATGGAAAGAGCATCAGGGTTTGAAGTCGAATCAGCCCGGGGCACTGCCCCTCCCAAGCAATGGGTTTCTGCATGAGTGACTTCACACACACTCTTCCCCACCCCACGCCTCAGTCTTCACATCCGTACAATGGGTAAACACAGCACCCACCCCTCAGCGCTGTGATGCAGAGAGGACAAGGCAATATCTGCATGGGCCTGGGACAGTGCCCCAGGGGAGATGTTCTATGGGTACCTACTGTCTTGGGGGAGGGGAGTATGCACAGGATGCGGGTGAAGCGTCTTACATGGCATAGACTGTAGTGCAGGGGCTGGAGAGGTAGACAGGCAGGAGTTCAAATCCCAACTCTATTGCTTCCTGGCTGGTGATGCTGAGCGAGCCCCCGACCCTCTCTGAGCCTGTTTGCTATCCATGAAGCGAGGCCCCCACACCTACTTGTGAGGATCAACTGCAAAAATGTAAATCCAGGACCTTGTCTAAATCAACTCATAGAGATGATCATGCTGGTGGGAACTGGTGGAAGAAGTGGCTGAAATCCCCATTCCCTAGCTGAGACCACGTGGGCGCTCATGGTCAGCCAATCCTGCCTGCTCTGAGGCTGGAAGCCAGGGTCTGTCTGACCTTAATGCCAATCCAGCAAGAACACAGCCCACAGGTCGGGGTGGGTGGGGGTGCTGGGCAGGCAGCTGAGGACGCTCTCTGGCTTGGCCCTCGCTGGTCCCAACCCTGGCCGCCCCGAGCACAGCTTCCCAAGAGCAGCTAAGAGGCCCACTGGAGCGGTGTCCAACCGGCCAGTGTTCCCCACAGCGGAGGTCATGGGAAGGGCAGGGCAGGGCAGGGCAGGGCACCGACTAGGCCCCCTTATCTCAGCCCTTCCTTCACTGGCCATGTTCAGAAGCTCAGCCTGAGTCCTGTGAGCACTTGATCGTGCCGTCTGAACGGACTCAGTGTCCCTTTCTGCTCTCCAGGACCTCACTAGCGTCATGACGTCCTGCTGAGAGGGAGGAGCTGTTGGGAGTCAGAAAGGCCGGGCATCCATACACCCGGTGACCTCGGGCAAAGGATTCCCTTCTCTAAGCCTCAATTTCCTTCTCCATTAAAGGGAAACCATTTATATATAGATAACTCCAAAATAGTTGCTCAAGATATGACGGGGGCAGATGAGCCAGGGAGCTGGCCGAGAGCAGGTTTCCATGGACGGCAGCCATCATTACGAGGATGACATCCCCACCTCCGGGAGCCTGCCCCGCTCACTGGGGATGG